AGTCAATAAAGTAAAGGGGTAGGAAAATAAAATTAATGGCAAATATTTGAAAAAAAAAAAGCAAGAAGAGAAAAAAAATTAGGCCTCATATGATGAAGAAATGCTCAGGTACTTTGAAAGGTCGTTAACTCTTGAGATCCTTAGTATCAGCAACGGCAGCTGGCCTCATTCTATCCAAAGAAGTCCAATTCATGTGTCAAAAACTAATTGATCCTCAGACTATCCACACAATCTTTTCTCTTAAATTTCCATCTCACATGCCAAACAACAAAAACACACAGCCACCACCACAACCTCTCCTTGCATGTTTTGCATTCCCAACTAGAAATCACCATCTTTTGGACAACAGTATTTAAAACTAAACTTTCGCAATTGCAGATGTGAAGGGATTATTTTTTAACACCTTAATGAATTCTAAAGCTCGCTTTATATAAAACTGCAAACACTTTTTCATTTACCAAGTCAGAGAGGCACAACCATGTACCTTTCCATTTTGGCAACCTGTCATCTCAACCGTTCGATGAAATTCTGTGAATGGTTTGGATCATATTTGATCATAAATGTGATGATCAGAGGTATCTTTAATTTGCAACTAAATCGTGCCTAACGGGCATGACTTTCTTTTGGTACCTTTTGCCATATAAATTTCAGGGACAAGTACGATACATAATTTGATAGTTAGGTCCTTTAAGTTTAGAACATGTTCAAGTTGTACACAACACTTTTAAACTATCCAACAACGGAAACATACGACACATACTCAGCTGTTATCGGCCTTCCCTACATCAAGCTTTTTGAAACCTCAAGTGAAGGCGCTAGGGAACTTGCTCAGAGTAGTCTGCAGTTCTCGATTTACATGGTATAAGTGCGTGAAGTGTGACCAAAATGCATCATTATATGGCATTAATTTTCTTTCTCCACTTGATTTTTGGGTGAGGATTATATATCAGCTACCCCTTAATTAGACATTGTTTCCCCAGACACCTCGTCCGATGCCGTTGTCCCCCTCTCCAACATCAACTCAGAGGAACTCACAAAGATTAGCGGCTACTGCAAGGCCCAATTGGATTTCTGAAGTTGCAGTGAATTTGCCAAGGATGAGTCCAGAGCATAGATATTCTTAAAGGTACACACCTCATAATCCGATCAAAACAAATTGATGATTTTGTGGTGAGATAGGGTTCTTTATTTTACGCTTTGGTCTACACAGATCTTCAAGGATTATTTATTTATTTTTTTAATTTGGCCTTTAGGCCCTGTTTGGATAGAAAATAGTAAAGGGAGGGGAAGGGAGGGGAATGGAGGAAAATAAAAGTAAATGGAGGGGGAGGAAAAGAAAGAGAAGGGAAGAAAATAGAAGGAAATAATTTGTGTTAATTTTGTTTGGATAAATAAAAATGAGGAAGGGGAAGAGAAGGGAAGGATTGTATTATTTTATGTTTGAATAATTAAGGTAAAAGGAAAAGAAGAAAGGGAAGGAAGGGAAGGAAATGAAGGATTTAAATTAATTTTAAATTTACAAATTTACCTTTTAAACTTGTAATGGAGTTGCTTATTCGTTTTCACTTGTTGCGATTTGTTCAATTTATTAAATTACTCCATTATCCACCGAAACCAAGCACAAGAGAAACCCAGTACTTTACCATATCTTTTTTTGGGTCATAATATGAGTTTGGATTAAAAAACTAATAAATGCAAATTAAAAGAAGAAAATTATTGATTAAGATTTTAAATCCCATCAATTGTCATCTACCACGAATAAGTAGTTTGGGGGATCATTGCTTTGAAGGAAGATACCTGAATATATTATTTAGATATTATGTGTTAAAGTGGCACTTGCAAGAGCATTGAAAGATGATTTCGCAAAAATTCTGCTTTCATGGACAGTGAACACATAATACAAAAATTGCTTAACAATTGTTTCAAAAATTAAATTTCTGCTTTGGTAAGTTGCTTCACTGGCAAGAGCAGAACCTTAAATTTTGCTCCGGCTAGTGAAGCAACCGAAGGCCATTATGAAACAAAAAAAGACATAGCAGCAAGGTCATGACAGAAAATAAAAATAATAAGTGGAGAAAATTAGTATTGACATGTATTCTTACTAGTTTATGGCCTCTGTTGAATCCTCTGGTTTTGGTGCTGTTGCCGGCAAGAAGGAGAAGGAGAGTTTTGGTGCTGTTGCCACAAGAAAGAGAAGGATATAATAAAAAAATTAAGGTTAATTTTATAATTACATTTAACATAATCTAAACAGTCACTCAAATTCCTCCCAAACCTCTCAAATCGGGCGGATTATAAATCTGCAGATTTGAGGGTGGTTGAAGGAAGTCCGAATCAGTCCATCTCCCTCCTCCCTTGCCTATTTGGAAACCCAAACAGAAGGAAAGAGATAGCCCCCTCACTCCCCTTCTCTGACCATCCGTCCCCATCCCTTCCCCTCCCTCTCTGTCCGACACCTCCAATCCAAACAATACCTTAGACGCGTGAACTAGGTGGATCTCACTGCAAACGTGGCTTCCATATCATTTAAAAATAAAAAATAATTTTTTTATAATTTTTTTATTTTATTTTTTTATATAACTTGATATATCATTTACAAAAAAATAATATAAAAAATTATTCATATAACATTATTCTTTAACAATCTCTAAATTGAATCAAAGAAACACGTCAAGTCCACATCAACATCCATAGCGGAATTTAACATGCATGTGAATCGCATGTGATTGAGTGTGTCACTTATGGGTTTTTTTTTTTGTTAATCATAAATTATAAAATGTGTTGATCAAGAGAAAAATTAATTTAAAATATTAAATATCTAAAAAAAATTCAAAAAGTAAATAAAAGATTTGATTATATATATATGTGTGTGTTTGTGTGTATGTACAGTAACCTCCATAGGATTCTTTATTTTATGCTTTGGTCCACACAGATCTTGAAGGATTATTTATTTATTTATTTTGGCCTTTAAACACGTGAATTAGGTGGGTCTCATTGCAAACGTGGCCTCCATGTCATTTAAAAATGGAAAATGATTTTGGTATAATTTATTTTATTTTATTTTTTGTATAATTTGATATGTCATTTAAATAGTTAATTTTTTTAATTTATATAAAATTCATAATATTAAATACATCAACTCATTTATTAACATATAAAAATTACATCAAAAAATAATATAAAAAAATTATTCTTACAACACCACTCTTTAAAAATCTCTAAATTGGGTCCAAGAAGACACGTCAAGTCCACGTCAACATCCATAGCGGAATTTAACATGCACGCGACTCACATGTGATTGAGTGTGTATTAAAATATTAAATATCTAAAAAAATCCAAGAAGTAAATAAAAAATTTGATTATATATATATATATATATGTATGTATGTACAGTAACCTCTATAGGATTCTTTATTTTATGCTTTGGTCCACACAGATCTTGAAGGATTATTTATTTATTTATTTTGTCCTTTAGACACGTGAGTTAGGTGAGTCTCATTGCAAACGTGGCCTCCATGTCATTTAAAAATGAAAAATGATTTTGGTATAATTTATTTTATTTTATTTTTTTGTATAATTTGATATGTCATTTAAATAGTTAATTTTTTTAATTCATATAAAATTTATAATATTAAATACATTCACTTATTTATTAACATATAAAAATTATATCAAAAAACAATATAAAAAAATTATTCTTACAACA